GTGTGTGTGTGTGGAGAGAGAGAGAGAGAGAGAGAGAGAGAGAGAGAGAGAGAGAGCGCTTATTATTCTGAAACATCTCACATACGCACGCACACACAACATTTATAATATAATTACATTACAAACTATCGCGAGAAAGATATCGCCAAGAATTCGTTAGCGATAGAAGGCAGTATGTTCCGAGATATTCGATCGTTCGATTCATGTGTAACGTAAGTTTGCTGTACAGCTTGCTTCTGTGCCTACATATTTTCTATATGATGTGCGTGAATATATTGTCAGAAAAATAAGCTCTTTGAAACTGAAACTCCAGCGAGTCCATGTCACGAGAGTGCCTAACCCAAGCAGTGTAAAACAAAAAGTAAGCTAAGGTAGAATGTGTAAATATTAGATTAATGTCCAACGTAAATTATTGTGCAAAGTGAAGACAGAAGTTTATGAATGCGAGCGAGAGAAAGATTTCGAATGTCGATGATCGATAGAAATAGATTTGGCCTAGATTTTTTGAAATTTAATTTTTCTCGCAGGCTGATGACAGCTTAAATGAAACAGCTATCTGTACGAAACAAATGATTTTGCTGAAATATCTCAAATTTAAACAAATACAAATTTAAAAATAATTTGGTTGGGCCATCAAGATTACATAAAAAATTTAAGCATAATGAGCAATGCTGCAAAAAGTTTCGACTTTCCACAATGAGAGAAAAATGTACTAAACAATTAATGTACTAAACATAATAATCTTAATATTTTTCCTCAATTGACTTAAAATATATTAAATTTTAATAAATATTTGTTTGAATAATATTAGATAAATATTTACTAAATGTAAACGTATATTTATTTGGTAATATTTACTATGGTAGTAAACATTTATTTATTGCAAATAAATGCTACAAGCTGCAGTACTATTGAAAAAAAGTATGTATTAAGATTAAATAAATTTTTACTAAAACTTAATGTTATTGAAAATTTACTATTGAAAAAAACATCTATATTTTAACTCTATTAATAGAGTTATATTTAAACTCTATTAATTTTTTTTTTAATTTAGCAATCAGTTGATTTGAACTACCTACGTAATTATTTTGATAGCCCTATAAAATTCTTTTTAATTTGTATCTAATTAAATTTTTAAATACTTTATTCAATAAAATCTTTCTTTTTCATGTGTTTGCGCAATTATTCTAATGAGTGAATGGTGTGATAAGCAGGTTAAAGATTTCTAATCTCTCGGTATGGTACACGTTACACTGGTGTCGATCTACTTCGTTATACTTTCTTTCCTGATTAGCCGTTGTTAACGCGGAAAGGTGAATAAAATTTAAATAGTGTTCCCGCTATGACCGCTCGCGTGTGTCTTGTCGTAGCGTGAAGCGGCACAATGTATAGTTTGACTGTCGTATAACCAGCACTTTGACGCCTCTGCACTTTCTGAATTATACTGAAAGCAGAAAAGAAACGTTCGC